GAAAGAAACTTGCAAACAGGACCAGGCACAAGAAGCTGAGCTCTGAGGTCTTTTTGTGCACAACATAAAAGCATCCTTCGCGATCTGCTCCCGTGTCCGTCACCCACGACAACTCGGGGGAGGCTTAATCCCTGCAACGGAAACCGTCTGGGGTTTCACGCGTGTGCGCCAGAGACAGAAATAAATAAATTCATTCATTAATGGATAAGCGCCTGAAATTCAGTGAACGCTTTCTGGCTTCTTGCAATTCGCCCAAAAGAGCAAAAGCTTCTTCTCAGACGACACGGATCAAGTAAAGATGGGCTTTACAGCTGCCAAGCCAATTGGCACCTCCAGAAAGGAAACGTCCCAGCTAGAAGATGTCAATATTTCACTCGGGCGAGATATCCGCCACACAAGACCAGAAATAAAAAAACACAAAGTTTCCAACCTGAACAAGTTTCCTTCTTATCTTAAGGAAAACATTAACCCGAAGAAGGAGGAGAGAAGAAAAAAAAAACCCAGACAAATGAGAGATTTCAGATGCTCCGCGCCGTTGCCTCTCCAGCAAGCGCACCTAACTGTACTTCAACCCATTTTTTTTTTTGATAAAAGAAAAATAAAATTTGGCGTCGCATCGGTGCGGACCGGCTGTGCTGCACAGAGGCTGTGATGCACCTGTCTCTCCGCTCCCTGAAACTCGCTCAGTCCCGCCGAGAGCACCTATCCCCCCCCGGCCGGAGCCGAGAGCCTGCGGCCAGCGCCACAGATCCCCGGCAGTTTCACTCCAGGGCCGGATGAGCACCCGGAGACACCATCGCACACGGCGCACGGGAGAAACGCCTGGTGCGCGTTTGATATAAACACACACACACACATGCACACGCTTTTGCCCAAACAAACTGTGCCGGGATTCAAAACGCAATCTTGGGGAGGACCCGGCTATCGCTGACTGGAGTCGCGGCGGCGGTGCAAGCGCACGTCATGTACACACACACACACCTAATCTTTAGGAATTAAAACAACAACAACAACAACACCAGCACCACAAGAAATCAACCCACACGTCTCCCAGCCTGGCCATGAACACAATCCACACGGTCAGCTCGTCAATCCCCCCCAGTCCGCTGCAGAACGACACCTCCAGGTAACGCTCCCCATCACCTGGATTATCGATACGGAAATAATTTATTCAAGGGAATAAAAAAAGAAACGAGGAGGGAGGGGGGCTATTTAAGATCTAAGGGTGTGGATCAGCGGTTTTTTTTAAAAAAAAAAAACAAAAGTGCTCTTGCACAGGGTGGACCAGATGTTTCAAGTTTGACACCTCTCCCCCTCCCCACCATCACAAACACACACACACACTCCTCCCCAAACCCCCCACCCGTGACATTTAAATTACAGCAAACAGAGGCACTTCTGATTTTCTGTTAAAAAACTACCTGTTCGCAAGCGGCGGCGGAGGAAACACGGCTCTGGCCCCGCCGATCCGTTACAACAACGTGTGTGTGTG